AGGAGGGTATCTCACTAAAGTTTAAAAAAAAAGAAAAGAAAAAAAGGCACTGAGCATTCTGTATAGACAGTATTTTGTGAATAACAATAGTTTTGTTTCATCTTTTCCAGGTCTTATAACTTTTCGTTTCTCTTGTCTTATTGCACTGGCTAGAACCACCTGTATATATATTGCTGATTGCAAGCCTAGTGGGTATACGAGTTTAATGCTTGGTTCTAAAGTGGTTATTAATAAGATTTCATCATTAAATATTTGCTAAGAGCAGGGGAGATACACCCTTTATCAAGTAGAGAAAGTTCCTTTCTGTACCAACTTTGCTATAAATTTTTATCATGAATTGGCAGTGGCTTTTTATCAAATGTTTGTTCTTCATTTAGAGGACAAGGTAAAAAAAGGGAAGGGAAGAAAAGAAGGGAGGGGTGGAAAGAAGAAAAGGAGAGAATGAAAAAAGGCATACAGGTCATTTTTTTCATAAAGAAATTGATTTAGTAATTGAAAATATGTCTTGCATTTAATTACAAACAAAGGAGAATAAAACACTCCATGTGATTTTATTCTTAATATGAGTTTTTTTTTATTAAATGGATTTTGATATTCCTTTTCTAGGGGATACAATGATTTGTATTCTCTCCGCATTCTTCCCCTCAACAGGTAAAAGCCAAAGCAGATTGTATGCAATGTAAAAAAATGCCTATTGGATCAATATAATCTAGGATACTTTTTCATTCCTTCAAAAATAGTTCCATTGAAATAGACATGGCATATAGGACCTCCCCACTCATTTTCCCTGCACTTCCTTTTTGCAGCCAGAGTCGGGTGGGGAATAGCAGGAATATCAACCACATCATGTCTGTAGTTAGTTGCCCCTACTAAGCCTCAAACATGGTCCAGGAGAGGCTGGCAGAAGGACTCAGGCTGCTGTACTGCAGGGCAGTGTGGCTCTCAGCTGCTTTACAAATGGCCAGGAGCAAGAGACAGGTAAGAATTGATTGTGTTAGCAGATACTCTTGCCTGTGAGTTAATGGAGCCAAATAAAAAAACCTTTCAAATGTCTGGAAATTCCAGGAAAGCCTTTTCAGGGTTCTATCTGTGTGCCAGGTGGTGTGTGGAAACTGCACTCCCAAGGGTAGAGTTTAATCCACCCAGGAACCTTCTAGGTGGCTTTCATTGTCCTCAAGTTAAACAGGAAGTTACAATCTTACAGTGACTGAGAAACGCTAGCATAAACAATAATAATGAGCTAATCCTGGTAGCAGGAACTCAGCTCAGTGCTTTACATATAGTTGCAAAATTAATCCTACTCACATCCTTACAAAGTTAACTACTATTACGAAACTAAGGCATGCAGTACAGCAATTTGCTCAAAGCCATTCAGGTAAAACAAGGTGACCAGGATGTAAACACAGTCAGGCTGACTCCAGAGCCCATGCCCTACACCAGGGCCTGACTAACTTTTTCTGTAAGGGGCTACCCAGCCTCTGTCATGACTACTCATTTCTGCTGTCAAACACAAACAATCTGTAAATAAATGAATGTGGCTATATCCTATTAAACATTTATTTATGAACACTAAAATTTAAATTTCATAGTTTTCACGTCACAAAATATTCTTTGAGACAGAGTCTTGCTCTGTCACTCAGGCTGGTGGGCAGTGGCACGATCACAACTTACTACAGCCTCAACCTCCCAGGCTCAAGGGGATCCTTCCACCTCAGCCTCTCAAGAAGCTGGGGCTACAGGTGCTCACCACTATGCCTGGCCAAATTTTCAAAAATTTTTTAGAGAAGAGGTCTTGTCATGTTTCCCAGACTGGTCTCAACCTCCTGGGCTCAAGCAATTCTCCCGCCTCGGCTTCCCAAAGTGCTGAGGGTTACAGGCATGAGCCACTATGCCCCACTTACAAAATATTATTCTTCTGATATTTTTCAATCATTACAACATGTAGGTGCTATTCTTAGCTTGAGGTCCATAAGAAGTCAGCTGTATTCAGTCTTCAGGCCGTAGTCTGCTGACTGTTGTTTGCTGACCGGTCATGTCCCTGGTCAGTGATCCTCAGCCTGAGATTTTCTACTGTCACATAACCCAACACAACACTCCCAGGCACTGCACTCCCCCATACGCACACCTAGTCATCGTCAGGCTCCAGTAGATGGCACAAGCTTGATCTGCATATTCTCCCTGCAGCTGGACATGTAGGGTCCTCCCTGATAAGCAGGGGAAGCACTTGACTTACTTTTCATGTGAGTAAACCCTATTTTATTGCATTTTATTCTCTTAACTTTCTAAACACAATGTCAACTTCCCTTGACCATTTTAATATATATATGAACTAAGGACATAAAAAATGGTATGATGCGTGGGATCTACTTCAAAATAATGACATTGGAGAAAGAGGAAAACAGGACTGGTCACAGGTTGGTAGTTGTAAAAGCTAGGTGCTGGGCACAGGTACAGACAAAATACATGTCAAATGGTACATATATTTAGTACATGGCTTCCTATGGTACATGTCAAAAAGTTCTTTTCTTTAATGGACACAAAATTGTTTTCCAAGTGTGCCAGTGAATGCTGAACTGGAGTAGACCAGTGCCATCTGTGATTTAAAAAAAAAAATTTAATTTTATTTTTTTATTGCATTTTAGATTTTGGGATATATGTGAAGAACATGCAAGATTGTTGCATAGGTACACACATGGCAGTGTGATTTGCTGCCTTCCTCCCCATCACCTATATCTGGCATTTCTCCCCATGCTCTCTCCCGAACTCCCCATCCCCCGCTGTCCCTCCCCTATTTCCCCCCGACAGACCCCAGTGTGTGATGCTCCCCTCCCTGTGTCCATGTGTTCTCTTTGTTCAACACCCGCCTATGAGC